AAAAGTCAAAAAATTCAAAATTAAAGACTAAATATCCACGCTTTTTGAGAAATTTTGGAGATTTCGGGGCACAGTGTCGAAAAATCTTGAAATTCTAGGGGATTCATATCGGGGTCATATAATGTAGTTTAGAACCATATATGATCATTATTTGTTGTCATAAATGTTCGTGGTAGGCTTGAGTTAATGAAATCGGTGCAAGTTGTAAACCTATAAATTGATCGTTTAAAGGCAAATTGGATGGTTCCACCCACCCAATGGGACTCCCAGACGATATTGGGGATCATGGTAAACATTTCGGCAATTTTAATTTTCGGGCAAAAAAATTAAAAAATTACAAAATTGAAGGCTAATATCCACGCTTTGTGAAAAATTTTGGGGGTTTCGGGGCACAACGTCGAAAAGCCTTGAGATTTTAGGAAATACATCTCAGGATCATATAATGACGTTTGGAACCATATATGATCATTATATGCTGTCATAAATGTTCGTGGTAGGTTTGATTTAATGAAATCGGTACAAGTTATAAATCGGTAATTAGGTCGTTTAAAGGCAAATTGGATGGTTCCACCATGTCGTTTGGAACCATATATGATCATTATTTGTGTTCGTAAATGTTCGTGGTAGGCTTGAGTTAATGAAATCGATGCAAGTTGTATACCGATAAATTGGCCATTTAAAGTTAAATTGGATGGTTCCAACCACCCAATTGGACTCTCGGAGGGTATTAGGGACCATGGTAAACGTTTCATCAATTTTTATTTCCGGGCAAAAAAGAGTCAAAATATTCCAAAATTGAAGTCTAATATCCACGCTTTTTGAGAAATTTTGGAGGTTTTGGGGCCCTTTGACGAAAAGACTTTAGATATTAGGGGATAAATCTAGGGGTCATATAATGTCGTTTGTGACCATATATAATCATTATATGTTGTCATAAATGTTCATGGTAGGCTTGAGTTAATGAAATCGGTGCATGTTGTAAATCGGTAAATTAGTCGTTTAAAGGAAAATTGGTTGGTTCCACCTACCCAATTGGACTCCCGGAGAATGTTAGGGACCATGGTAAACATTTCGACAGTTTTTATTTTCGAGCAAAAAAAGTCAAAAAATTCAAAAATTGAAGGCTAATATCCATGTTTTTTAAGAAAAATTTTGAAATCTTCGGGGCCCGTTGTCTAAAAGTCTTGAAATTTTAGGGAATACATCTCGCGGTCTTGTAATGTCGTTTGGACCCATAGATGATCATTATTTGTTGTTATAAATGTTCGTGGTAGGCTTGAGTTAATGAAATCGGTGCAAATTGTAAATCGGATAATTGATCGTTTAAAGGATAATTGGATGGTTCAACCCATCCAATTGGACACCCGAAGGGTATTAGGGACCATGATAAACATTTTGACAATTTTTATTTCCGTGCGAAAGAAAGTAAAAAAATTCCAAAATTGAAGGCTATCTATGCTTTTATAGAAATTTCAAAGGTTTCAGGTCCCTGTGTCGAAAAGAAATTTGATTTTAGAGGTAAATCTCGGTGTCATATAAAACCGTTTGGAACCACAAAAGATCATTATATGTTGTCATAAATGTCCGTGGTATGCTTGAGTGAATGAAATTGGTGCAAGTTATAAATTGGTCGTTTAAAGGTAAATTGGATGATTTCACTCACCCAATTGGAATACCGAAGTGTTTTAGGGACCATGATAAACATTTCGACAGTTTTTATTTCAGGCGAATAGAAGTCAAAAAATTCCAAAATTAGATGCTAATATCCACGCTTTTTGACAAATTTTTGAAGTTTCGGGGCCCGGTGTTGAAAAGGCTTCAGATTTAAGGGAACATATATCAGGGACATATAATGTCGTTTGGAACCATATATGATCATTATATGTTGTCATAAATGTTCGTGGTAGGCTTGAATTACTGAAATCGGTGCAAGTTGTAATTCGGTAATTGGCCGTTTAATGGAAAATTGGATGGTTCCACCCACCCAATTAGATTCCCAGAGGGTATAAGGGACCATGCTAAACATTTCGACAAATTTTATTTCTGGGCAAAAAAAGTCAAAAAATTTCAAAATTGAAGGCTAATATCCACACTTTTTGAGAAATTTTGAAAGTTTCTGGACCCGGTGCGAAAAGTCTTGAAATTTTAAGGGATATATCTCGGAGTCATATAATGTTGTATGGAACCATATATGATCATTATTTGTTATCATAAATGTTCTTGGTAGGCTTGAGTTAATTAAATCGGTGCAAGTTGTAAACCGATAAATTGGTTGGTTAAAGGAAAATTTGGTTGTTGCACTCACCCAATTGGACTCCCGGAGGTTATTAGGGATCATGGTGAACATTTCGGCAATTTTTATTTCTGGGCGAAAAAAAGTAAAAAAACTTTAAAATTAAATTCCACGTTTATTGAGAAATTTGGGATGTTTCAAGACCCGGTGTCGAAAAGCCTTTAGATTATAGGGGATGCATCTCGAAGTCATATAATGTCGTTTGGAACCATATATGATCATTATATGTTTTCATAAATGTTTGTGGTAGACTTGAGTTAACGAAATCGACACAAGTTGTAAACAGGTAAATTGGTCGTTTAAAGGCAAATTGGATGGTTCCACTCACCCAATTTGGAATCTGGGAGGGTATTAGAGACCAAGGTAAACATTTCGACAATTTTATTTATGGGCCAAACAAAGTCAAAAAATTTCATAAATTGTAGGCTATATCCATTCTTTTTGAGAATTTTTGGAGTCTTCGGGGCCTGGTGTCGAAAAGTTTTGAAATTCTTGGGAATGTATCTCGGGGGTCATATAATGTCGTTTGGAACCATATATGATCATTATATGTTGTCATAAATGTTCGTGGTAGGCTTGAATTAATGAAATCGGTACAAGTTGTAAACTGGTAAATTGGTCGTTTAAAGTCAAATTGGATAGTTCCACCCACCCAATTGGACTCTCGGGGGTATTAGGGACCATGGTAAACATTTGGGCGATTATTATATCCGGGCGAAAAAATTCAAAAAATTCCAAAATTGAAGGCTAATATCCACGCTTTTTGAGAAATTTCGAATGTTTCGGGACCTGGTGTTGAAAAGCATTGAGATTTTAGGGGATATATCTTGGGGTCATATAATGTCGTTTGGAACCATATATGATCATTATATGTTGTCATAAATGTTCGTGGTAGGCTTGAGTTTATGAAATCGGTGCAAGTTGTAAACCGGTAAATAAGTCGTTTAAAGGCAAATTGGATGGTTCCACCCAGCCAATTGGACTCCCGGAGGGTATTAAGGACCATGGTAAACATTTCGGCAATTTTTATTTTTGGGTGAAAAAAAGTCAAAAATTCCAAAATTGAAGACTAATATCCACGTTTTTTTGAGAAATTTTGAAGGTTTCGGGTAGAGATGTCAATTCGGGTAAACGGGTCGGGTTTGGGTCGTTAAGAGTGGGTCGGGTTAACTCGGGTCGGGTCAATTCAGATTAATTTCATAACCTATGCGGGTCGGGTTTGGGTTAGGTCATGCTTCAGTCGGGTCACGTCGGGTCATACTTCTTATCAAGTTTGGTCGGGTTAATAACAGGTCCGGTTATATTTGGGACGGGTGAAGAATAGGTTGGGTTTAATTCAGGTTTTCACGGGTTAAAACGGATTAGGGTAATTCTCGGGTTCGAGTCGGGTTCGTTCAAGTCAATAATTTGCGGGTTATAATCAGGTCGGGTTATTCTCGGATTTGCGTCGGGTTCAGTTCAAGTCAATAATTTGCGAGTTATATTCAAGTCGAGTCATTCTTGGGTTTAAGTCGGGTTCAGTTCAAATCAATAATTTGCGGGTTATAATCAGGTAGGATCATTTCCAAGTCGGGTCATTCTCGGATTCAAGTCGGGTTATGTTCAAGTCAATAATTTGCAGGTTACAATCAGGTCGGGTTATTAACAAATCTATAATAAGTCGTATTGATTTCGAGTCGGGTTAATAACAAATCAGGTTGAATTTTTGGGTCGGGTCTAGTAAAATTCGAGTCGGGTCAATAACAAGTCGGGTTGAATTTGGGTCTGGTCAATAACAAGTCGGGTTGATTTCGGGTCAGGTTTGTAACAAGTTGGATTAAATTCGGGTCGGGTTAGGAACGTGTCGGGTTGAATTCATGTAGGTTAGGTTAGGTTAGTAACAAGTCGGGTTAAATTCGAGTTTTATCAGGTTAAAACGGGTTTGTGACAATGTCGTTTCAAGTCGGGTTCGATTCAGGTCAATAATTTACTGGTTACATTCGGGTCGAGTCATCTCCAGGTCAGTTCATGTTCGACTTCGGGTCTCACATACTCGGGTCAACTCGGGTCTAGGGTTGGTTTTAGGTCGGTCAGATCGGGTTTGGATCACCATTTTTTCGGGTTCAGATGGGTCGATTAATAATCGGGTTTGAGTCGGTATTTCGGATCGGGTTAATAATCAAGTTGCATCTACAGGACTACAGATGTACTCGTATAAAAGTAGGTGAGAAATTAATCTTCTATTCCATATTTTGTGTACCAAGTCTACTTGTCTCATGCCTATTAGGATTATGAAATCAACCTTTTTTCTAACTCGAAACAGTTTATGCGCAAAATTAAACAGTGACACATACAATCAGACATGATACGGAATACAGTACATAGTAATACGCAGAAGACTGGGAATCAAATTAAGTTTGCTTGTCAAAAAAAAAAAAAAAAAAAAAAAAAAAAATTAAGTTTGCTACATAAATAAAATTGTGTCCGTTACTAGTTGCTACTTCAGAGTATAAATAAATCTATGTTACTTTGCTTACTCCTCTAATCCTTTTATATCTTGACACATAAACTAAGTTATCTATATCTGCTTATAAAATTTAGATGAATAATCTCTTCAAAGCTACAAAAATTATCCAAAATTTTGCCATTTGTTCTTGAAAATATATTACAGAATATATTCTTTCTATAAATTCCCATCCCACTAACTAAAAATCTACACCCCAAAAACATGGCTCCAAACTTATACTCCCACTATCAAAATGTGGTTTTGATAGGAGATTTTAATCAAGTAGAGTATAGTTCAGATAAGGTGGGTGGTTCTCCAAATATAGTTGGTCAAACGGATTTTCAGGACTGGAAGTTTGATTCAGGGTTGTTAGATATCCCTTTCTCAGGACCCACATTTACTTGGACCAATGGACATCATAATGGTAATCCTACATTTGAACGTCTTGATAAGGCCTATGCTACAAATGATTGGCTTATTAAGTATCCTGATACTTCTATTTTGCATCAGCCGATTCTATTTTCGGATCATGCTGCAATTATTCTTCGGGAACACCGAGTTTTGGAGGGTCGCAAACCATATAGAGTAGACAATTGGTGTCTTCTCTCAAAGGAAGTAGCTTCTATTGTTTCTTTCTCTTGGAAGTTGGATATTTTGGGCTCCCCTATGTTTTCTATTTCTCAGAGATTGGAGGATTTACGTTCAAAATTACTTAGATGGTGTGTTACTCATAGGAAGCTTTGGGGCATCAATTGGATAGAATTACATGATTCCATATCCCCATTAGCTCAGAATTTGGAATCCAAACTTCATAGACATCTTTTTCTTTCGTTAAGAGAAGAAAAAGTCAGACATTCTCAGGCAGCCTACCTTTACTGGAAGTAGCGGGCTAAGGTTAAATGGGATGTGTTAGGTGACTCTCACTCACATCTTCTTTTTTCTTATGTTCAGAACCGCCGTTGAAAGAATACAATTCAAGGTTTACAGACCTCTTCAGGAGATTGGACTCATGATCATGCTCAGATTCGTTCTATTGTCTTTGATTATTTCTCCTCAATTTATAGAAGTAATCAACCTCTTCAACAAATTCCTGAGTTTGATTGGTCCACCTTGAATTTATCCTGTTTATCGGAGGTTCAAAAGTCTAATCTTATGGTTCCTTTTTCTGCCTCAAAAATTAAAGCGGCTATGTTTAGTATAGATGACGCTAAGTCTCCTGGACCAGATGGGTTTACGTCTGCTTTTTTAAGTCTCATTGGTCTGTTGTTGGATCCTCAGTTATTGAAGCTATTCAGTATTTCTTTTTGCATGGTCACTTGCTTAAGGAATGGAATCGAACTTTCATTGTCCTCATTCCGAAGGTAGATCATCCTCAACAACCTTCACAATTTAGACCTATTGGGTTATGCAATGTTCTCTATAAATGTATTACCAAGTGTCTTGCTGCTCGACTTCGGATGATTCTTCCTTCTCTCATTTCAGACTGTCAGACCGCTTTTGTTCCGGGTCGTCTCATGTCGGATAATGGTTTACTTGCCCATGAAATTCTCACTTATATGAATCACTTGCGGGGTCGTACTATGTCAGTTGCTCTCAAGCTTGATATGAATAAAGCTTATGATAGAGTTAATTGGCAATTTTTACGGCAAGCTCTTCAGAAGTTTGGTTTTCCCCCGTATTGGATACATATTATTCAACAATGTGTTTCGACAGTCTCTTATCAGTTACTTGTTAATGGAAATCCGACTAAGGTTTTTAGACCCTCGTGTGGTCTTCGCCAAGGAGATCCTCTGTCATCATACTTGTTTGTTCTTTGTATGGAAATCTTTTCAGCTATGATTAATCAAGCGGAGAGCACCGGTCTTTTTAAAGGAGTTAAAGTATCTCGTTATGCTCCTTCAATATCACATCTGTTTTTTGCAGATGACTCTCTTCTTTTTTTCCAGACCTCTCCTCAGGCCTGTTCCAATGTTCTTGGAGTTGTTCATCAGTTCTGTGATATATCAGGTCAGATGTTAAATTTACAAAAATCCTTTGTTCGTTTTAGCCCTAATGTTCAAGAGGACTATCGGGAATCTTTAGCCAATTCCTTACAGCTAAAGAGTCTTCCTTCACTTGGTACCTATTTGGGACTTCCGGTGGATATGGGTAGAAGTAAACGCACACCTTATCAACCTCTTGTGGACAAGATTACTTCTCGGTTGATGAGTTTTGCTTCCCTGCATCTCTCACCTGCGGCCAAATTAGTTGTGATCAACTCGGTGTTGATTGCTTCTCTTAACCATATCTTATCTGTTTTTAAGATTCCTTCTTCAATCTCTGACAGAATTAACAATCTATTCGTCAGATTTTGGTGGAAAACAGGGAATCACTCCAAGGGTTTGGCTTTAACTCCACCTTCTGTCTTGTTTACCCCAAAGGGTTTGGGTGGTCTAGGTATTCGGCATTTGGGTTTATTTAATTCTGCTTTGCTTGCTCGTCAATCTTGGCGTATTATGCAGAATTCACAACTTCTGATTTCTCGGGTTTTTCAGGCCAAGTATCCTTCCCTTATGTGTTTCCGGTCACAAGGTCGTCTTTCTAATCCATCCTGGGGTTGTCGAAGTGTTCTTCATGGAATACAGACCTTAAAGATTGGGCTTGCTTGGAAAATTGGCAATGGTTCTAAGGTTCATATTCTTCAGGACTCTTGGGTGCCTGGTTCTCCAGTTTACTTTAAGAATTCTCTAGCTGGATCGGTTCAGCCGACTCTGATGTCTTCTCTTTTGGATCCTATTTCAAATGATTGGGATCCTGCTTTAATTCATGCTTTGTTTCCGTCAACTATTGCCTCCAAGATTCTGAGTCTCGAGCGTCCTCCTCAGCTGATGGATGATTATGTTTATTGGAAATACTCGAGAGACGGCAGATTTTCTTCTAAATCGGCTTATGCAAAGCTGATCGCTTTGTCGAATCAGCTTCCTGAAGGTTCTTCTCCAATTCCTCCTATTCCTTGGAGTAAAATTTGGGTTCTTCCTATTTTACCCAAATGGAAGCTCTTTATTTGGAAAAAATTTCACAATGCTCTTCCTGTTGCGGATACTTTGAGAACTAAGGGTCGTCCTGTAGATCCTGTTTGTTCTTTTTGTTTTCAAGATTCTGAGACTACCGAGCATTTATTGCTTCGATGTTCGTTTATCAGGAGATTATGGCATTGTGGTCCTCTAGGTATTCGGCTTCCATGTTTTAACAGCTCCTTCCATCAGTGGTTTAGCTCTTTACTCCTCTGTCATATCTATAAAGAATTGGGATGGTTTGGATTATATTTTATCTTTTGCTTGGGCCATTTGGATTCATCGTAATCACATTCGATTTCGACAAGCCACCTGCTCTCTGCCCATGATTTTCCAGATTGCTCAGGAATGGACTACTCGGAGTCAGGCGGCTAGGAGTTCATCTTCCTTCGATTACTCCATTCCCCCTGGTTTTGGTTCCCTGAATCATTCCTCCTTTCTTGCGGGAAACCCTAATATTTCTCCTACTGTTATTCTTATAGTGGACGGAGCCTGGGATTCTTCGGATTGTCGAGCTGGCACGGGTTGGTGTTTTTATTCGTTAGATACATCCAGCAGTTTGGGTTGTGCGGCTCGTGCGTGTTTTGCTCTTTCAGCTTTCCAGACGGAACTTCAAGCCTGTTTTTTTGGTCTTAAGATGGCTCTCCACCGTGGGTATTCTCGTATCCTTCTTCGCACTGACTGTTTATTATTGGTTTCTATCCTTCACAGGCCGTCGCAGGATATGGCTACTATTTGGATTCAGCAGCAGCTCCGAGATATCCTTTCTTTGTTTGAAGTTTGTTCTGTTCAGAAGGTTCCTAGAAGTGCGGTTCTTCCTGCTCACCAGTTGGCTACTTTATCTAGGAAGCGTCAGTTAATTAGCTATTTTTTTAAGTTTTTTGAGTTGACCTTTGTCCAAAAAAAAAAAAAAAAAAAAAACTTATACTCCATCTTCCTAATAACAATACTGTTGCAAGCTTTTTCCAATATTAATGTCACAGCCCAAGCATTATTTCCTGCAATCCTCGTTTTTGGTGATTCAGCCGTGGATACCGGCAACAACAATTTCATCAATACCATTATATCACCAAATAGAGCTGATCATCCTCCTTATGGAAGAGATTTTCCTAGCCATAAACTCAACGGTCGTTTCTCAAATGGGAAGCTTGTCCCAGATTTCTTGGCTGATACACTAGGGTTGAAAGAGAGTGTACCCCCATTTCTGGATCCCCGTCTGTCAGACAAGGACCTGATTACCGGTGTGTGTTTTGGGTCTGCAGGGTCTGGGTATGATGATTTAACGAGTAAGACAACTAAAGCAATCCCAATGTCAAAGCAGGTTGAGTACTTCAAAAAGTATATAGAGAGAGTTACAAGTATTGTAGGGGAAAAGAAGGCTAAGGACATCATAAGAAAGGCTTTAGTTGTTATAAATTCCGGGACTAATGACTTCGTGATCAATTACTATGATCTGCCTACTAGAAGACTGTAGTACGGTATAAATGGGTACCAAGATTTTGTTCTCGAAAGACTGCAGAGCTTTATTGAGGTTTTAACTCTTTTCTTTACTCCCTCCTTTCCCATAAAAAAACAATGGAAAATTTGTTAGAAACTATCTTATAAATGACTTTTTTTGTCAAAAACTACCTTATAATTTTTTTTTTGTGAGAACAAACCATTTTAACAACATTTTTTGCAAGGACATACCAGTCACCGGATTTTCAAGTTTGACCTCAAAAACACGGCGTTGACCAGTCATGTGCCGGGCACGTGACTTCATTAAACCCATTTCTTTTCTCTTTTCCTATTCTTTTCCCTCATCTTTCTCACGACTTACCCCTTTATGATACCCAATTTCTTCTCTCTCCTCAATTTATCTCTCCTCTTAATAAAGCATTCACCTTAAACTTTCTTCCAGAAATTGTATCTTTGTAGAAATTACAAACAACAAGTCTAAATATCATGTTATTCGAGTATGTATGTTACTTTGGTTTTTGAAAATGTAAGTGTAGTTGTTGGTTGATAAATGTGTAACTAATTAACTATATTAGGGTCTAATTGGGGATTTCTGTATGTTAATACTTGTGGCCAATTCGCACAGGTGAACAAGGCTTTGTGAGGAAATTGAGAAGATTGAAGAAGAAAAGAAAATATGGGGGAACCAAGCATCTTATTAAGTCGTGAGAAAGATGAGGGAAAAGAATAGGAAAAGAGAAAAGAAATGGGTTTAATGAAGTCACGTGCCCGGCACATGAATGGTCAACGCCGTGTTTTTGAGGTCAAACTTGAAAATCCGATGACTGGTATGTTCTTGCAAAAAATTTTGTTAAAATGGTATGTTCTCACAAAAAAAAAAAAATATAAGGTAGTTTCTGACAAAAAATGTCATTTATAAGGTAGTTTCTAACAAATTTTCCAAAAAACAATTAACAGATTCAAAAAGGCATAAAACGGGTAGAGGGTAATGGGGTATTAGGTTTGAGTGCAATTTTGCAATGAAAACGTATCTCATGTCAAAGTACATGATAATACAATTTCATCTCCAACTATGCGTTTTGCTACAAAAGGTTCCATTCTCACTCAACACCAGATCTAATCATTTAAAATGGTTGGGTGGTAATAGAAATTGAAAGAGAAATGCACATATTTGAAAATAGAGTTGTATAAACATTGACACCCTAAGATTTTTCTTACAAAATTACACAAACCAATCAACATATTACCGTCATACTACTCTGTGTGTGCTAAGACAATCATAGATGCTGTGTCATAGGTTGCAGGTTGTAGCTGACCAATAAATGACACATCAACTATAATTGTTTTAGTATGACAAGGAACAGAAATTAAATTGATTCATCAATTTATACGAATTCCTATAGCTTAGACATGACTTACTTTGGCCCAAACTTAAACAACTATTAACGACCCATTCAAGTTAATATTTCAATATCTTATAATTCTACATGACAATAACACACTACTTTCTCAAAAATCTGAAACTGCAGGAGGTGCATGAACTCGGATGCCGTACAATAATAGTAACTGGGCTACCTCCCATAGGTTGTCTTCCGATTCAAATGACAGCAAGATTTAAACTCCCAAATAAAAGGAAACGTTTAGAGGACCAGAATTCAGATGCCATGTTATATAACCAGAAACTAAAGAAACTCATACCTCATGCACAAGCTTCACTTCCGGGAACTCGGATACTATATGCAGACGTATACACACCATTTAGTGACCTGGTAAAAAATCCAGAAGAGAATGGTAAGGAAATACTTTGTATAAGACAACATGAAGACCAAATATTGCATAAACAATACTACTTATATAATTATCAGCTGATGTTATATTGTCTAAACACTGTAACAGGATTCAAAGTGACAGATAGAGGATGTTGCGGGACAGGATATATTGAGACAGGGAGCCTTTGCAACATATTAACACCTACATGTAAGAATGCTACAGAGTTTGTGTTTTGGGACAGTGGTCATCCCACAAAAGCAGCGTACCAGTATGTTCATGATTCTTTGCTTGAAGAGCTTGGTCCTCAGATAATTAATGATCCCAAGTTTTCTGTTTCCTAACATTCTGTAATATTCAAAATCTTCATACGTTATGTAATGTTGTATGAAAGACATATCCTCTCAGATTCTTTAAAAAAGAATGCAGATAGTTTTATGAATACATATAATTTCATCTTTTGGAAATACATCAAAAATACCATTTCAATATCTCTAGAATTAATACAACTGTTCTCATTAGACAAAGCAAAACACTGAATAGCATTAGACAACTTCCTAAGTTCCTTAAAACTCCAATTTTGGTATTAAACATTCTATTAAAGTACAAACATAATACAAATACATCTGGTCTGAGCTGCTGCCAAAAATATACAGTATAAGATTTAATGCTTACTGTGTGGAAGGCTGGAAGCTAATCATAAAACCAAGTGCAGTATTGAAAGTCAGAAAGGCAATTTAAATATTTAACATACTTCTTATAATGATTTTGAAAGGGCAATATCCTAATCGTCGGAAGATTCAGTCAACTAGCTATATCCCACAGCAGGTAAAAAAAAAAAAAAAAAAAAAAAAGAGAGAGAGAGAGAGAGAGGAGGTTCAACTGTTCCAGGGGTGCAGATGCAAGTAAGCATACTACAGTCCCTCAGGACATGGAGATTGAGGAGAAAGAAAAATTAGGGGAAAACAAGCCATAGAGTGTGCATCCCAACTTTTGGAGGAGAAGGAGGGGGGGGGGGGGGGTGACTATACATAGTACTTGAACTCAATTCTGGGAATATCCAAAATGGTATACTTCAAAGTGGCTTTGAGACTGACGAACTAATTCAAGCTATCTATCACCAGAAACTACTTAGATATCAGAAAGGCAAAGGTTAAGAAATCTCTAACATAATAATGTACCACAGTATCAGAACTCAAGCAATAGATCTGGCTGCAGAGTACAGACATATATCGGATTGAATTTTCTCAGAACTCGCTGAACAGCAAGCCACGTGTAAGAAACTACACCAGATATCTTTGCTCTTTTGTACAATGAGAATACTCCACACAAATCTTAATATCCTAAGCATACAAAGATAATGCAAAAAAGGCACCAAATTTCAAGGAATTGTGACAGAGAGATGAGTCTAAAATTCATATAGAGGCTTAGGCACAAATGCACAATCATCCTCTTCTCGTATACTGGATATCTAGACTTCTTTAGTGGTCTCAATATCTCAAAATGAGATCTAATCCTTTCTAACACAATTGAGTGCAAGCTCTTCTGTTGGAGACATTTGAGCGGTTTAGGTATAAGTACCTTAGACGGTTAGACCTAACTAGTTGAGAAAGGAACATTCCTAAGAGTAATACTAGAAGAACTATGTTCCTACAAAAAAAAAAAAAAAAAAAAAAAAAAAAAAAAAAAAAAAAAAAAAAAAAAAAACCTTTAAGTACTATGAAGCAAGAGAAATGCAATATGATGCGAGGGAGACGGAGGGGGTTCACCGATTGCTTAAACTAGGCCCAGAGTGTCATAAGATTATTATATAGCCCAAGGCTCTAATAGAAGTTTGCTTCCAGTCGGCTAATCTACCTTCACAAACAACAGGGCCTCAAATAGTCAAATTCTAGGGGATAAAAAATGTACAGGGAGCAGATGACTGGCCTTTCAGACAAATTCATAAATCATTTCTCAAAATGCACCTGTTTCCGTAGACCAGAATTCAATATCTACAACCTAGTTACTTGACATGATCACCTCACCCACAAAATTGATTTTGGCCCTATTTGGTAATTAGCTGGTTTGACTAACTGATTATATTTACTCGTTTGACTAGCCGGTTGTAAATACATGGTTCATGGTTGTGTAAAAGCATTTGGTAAATAACTGTTATTATTAGCTGTTTAGCATATGAAACAGCTAATAAGCTAAATGTTCAATAAGCTAATTCCAAAAAGCTCATGTTTTGTGAATTTACAAAGAGAGTTTTTTGAGTCCAAAATGCTCTTTAATAAGCTTTTAACCAAACACTATAATTAGCTTTTTGATAACGGTCAAACCACTAATACGTTCAATAAGCTAAAAACTCTCCAAAAAGCACTTTACTAAGCATATCTTATGATACTTAACTAACTACTCTACACCAGCCTTCTCGGGTCATATCTCAGCAAAGACATTATTGATCATACTAGTCTTTCAAGCAAGTCAGTCAAGTCGTTGGTGCTAAAAGAGCAATTAGCAATTGAATTTCAATCCCAATAAGTTGTTAGCACAATCTAATTTTTGTCCAATATGATGATCTCTGATATGATAGGTGCAGCACATCATGGGGATCAACTGCTAAAAAGGGAGATTTTGCATCAAGAGACATGGTCTGCAAGATTAAAATCCACTTACAAGCAACTGGACATACAATAATCAAGTTGACTTAAGCAAATGATAAACAAAATCAAGTGACATTAACAGCTGGCTATGCAGATACTTTCTGAGCACTATACAGGCAATATAGTGGAAACTAACCCGAGAATAGAAGGTTGGGCACATGACCCTTTGAAGATACACAGTTCTGCATTCCCATATCTCCGAATCTCCGATGTGTATACTGTATCTCGATTTAGTACTTTGTTAGTGGTAAGATCCTACAAAATCAGCACACATAACTCAAGTTACACATAATGTACAGGATTTATAGCTCCAGATTTCAGACAAATTAGTAGAATAGAGATGATTCAACTGAGATATCCAATTGCATGCAACAAATAAGCATCTTTCTACCTGTTCTGTAACCCTCAACTTTCTGCATACAGAGTCACAGCTTGTATGGTGAAGTAATGCTCTGACAGCACTTACAGCAGCTCCATGACAGTATATCATCATCCAAAGATAATTCAATGTTACAATAACATGAAAATACAATAGAAACCAAGCTTTAAAGACTTCAAAGTACAATAGGTAATAACAGGCAAGTAGGAAATTAATTTTTGAAGAGCAATTTCTTGCTAACATTAAAAATCGAACAGATCCAATTATACACAATCGTATAAAAATGATCAACAAGTCCTTTGTGAAAATAGGAAATTGATATAGAATAAAATTTGGCTTTCACACAAGGTTAAGTAGTACATAAGGGCCAAATCACACATCTATACACCCCAGTGGAAAATCTACCAGCACGCCAAAATTTTACACTCCACAGTGGGGAAACAACTAATTGATCACCAAAATTTTGGAAGACCTACCATTTCAATTCACATATTCATAAATTGATACATTGTTCTAAATCGATACAAACTTGCTTACACTGTTCTACAAAGTTACAAACAACATTTTCTGCTCATCAATTCATCACCGTCTTTCATCTCCTTCCACCATTACTATTACCCCGAAACAGCCCATTGTTAATCTGAGCCTCAACATCCTCCACACTATACTTGATATGTTTCTCAGGGTTCCTTCCTGCTTCTGCAGAGTTCTGGAACCTTCCAATGAATATCCGATAAGCAGGCAACAGATTTTGAATAACAGACATCTTCAAATCCTCCCTCAATTGATCATCAAACACAACCCACGAAGATTGAATCTTCAATATCTCCTCAAAGTAAGCATTGAACATCTTAAATCTTTCCTTCAACGGCCTCGAATTCTGGCCTCCATTAGCATTACTCCCACCTCCATTATCCACCTTCAAAACCCCAACCACCTTATTCCAAGTATTCCTCTGATAATTCATCTGAAACTGCCTAACTTTCACACTATGTTTTCGAATCCAATCTTCCCCTAACAACAACCCAAGCTCACTATCCTTCACCTTCTGCACAATGTACCTCCCATTATTCATCATAAACAAAGAACTCAAAGCAGCATCCTTATAAGTCTTTGATTTTGCCTCCAAATTACTCTCTAATAACTCCATAATCCACGCCATTTGAACCGACAACGAGCTCATCCCCGACATCCCTCGTTCCCTTTCCTCCTCAAACACCTGCTCCAACGTCTGCTGCGACTTACACGCAGCTCGAATATAATTCATCACATATCTAGTAATCGGATGAAGCCCGCCACCAGGCACCGGGTTTTTCGCCGGATCACGCCTAATCAAATTCTCCAATTCCATAAAAATCCCCCTAATTGCTTCCCCAACTCTCTTCCAAATTGCCACAGCTTCATTCCTCAGAAAAACACAATACTGATCAGAAAACAATATCTCAAACTCCGGAATCAAATCCCTCAAAGTCTCATAAACATCAAGCACTTTAAACAATCTCTCCGGAGACCGGCTCGAAATCGCGACCGCATCGGCGAAATTCAACAGCTGAATAGCCGAACCACGGCAAACCTCCATAAAAGCAAAATCAGAAGTCGACGGAAAACCGAAGAAAATACGATCACAGAGACGCCTTTCAGAAGGAAACAAAATCCGAAGAGAGAAAACCGCCGATTTACACCACCGCTCAATCTCATCCTCAAGCTCCGGCCATGGAAGCTTCTGGACTTCATCAGTGCTCAATTTCTGTAACCCTAACCTCGACAAACTCTCTTCTAGAAACTCCCTCCGGCACGCGCTGTACACGTGCGAACACTCTCTTCCGTACTCCACCAACACCATTCGCCTCGCAATTTCATGGAGATCGTTGATCGTCGACGCCGGTAAAGCATCGATAACGATGTTAAAATCCGTCACCGGATGTGCCACCGGAATCTCACCTCCGCCATCATCTCCGCCGTAACCTCCTCCGTCTTCTGAGTCGGAATCCGACGATTCACGAGTCAAATCGAAGGAATCAGCACCTCGTTGAATCAAGCCACGAAATTCTTCCTCAAGCTTGAAAATCGCCGATTGTAGCAGCTCATCTGCGCGATCCAGCGTCACGGCGAGCGCCTTGTTGTCGCGCGCAAGAGGAGCGAAGTCGCGGATTGTTGCGATCAGCTCGTCGAGAACTTCGAGGAAGGCGGAGGAATCGGTAGGGTCAAACCATAGTGGACGGTCAGAGGAGAGAGAATGAGAGATCTGAGCTTCGAGTGAAGTTAAGCATTCTTCCAAGGTAGCAACCGCCGACGACGGTTTATCGACGGATTTAGGGTGGTTTTCCGGCAACATATTGTCGGAAAGCGGTGATAATTTATCGCGAGAAAATCGACCGTCGAAAGTGGAGAAAATGTTGAAAATATCGTCGGTCATAGAATTGGAATGACCGAGAGATTTTGCAATTTGACGAGCAACTGCTATCAATTTCTCTTCTCCATTGATGTTGTTATCAGCCATAATTAAAATTAAGTATAAATAAATAAAATAAAATTGTGGTCACATCAAAAAAACAAAAAAGAAATTCGGACAAATTCAAAGTATAATTTTAGTGGTAGTAGAATAATCAAAGTGATAGTGTATATTAGGGTTTATAATTGAAAAGATGAACGCGGAAATAGAAGGAATTGGGGAAGAATAATAAAAAGAGGAAAGTGTGAGGAAAATGAGAAAGGGACAGTTTTTTTTTGGTATTTTGTTTTTGGAGTTTGGTTTTGTTTTTTCGAGTTTTCCCACTGTTTTGGTGTTTTTTGTTGGCCGTGTAAAAAGGTAAGTTTATCGTTGTTTTCTTGTTTTTGGATAATGGTGTTTTAATATCATTGCTTAGTCAGCATTTTCTAGATGATTATATATTTTTTATAGTGCTGAGTAGTAATTAATTAATTCCCCTTCTTGTTCAAAATTACGTCACAAAGTACTCGTAAATCGTAATAGATTTAGTACTCAATCGGGACGATCCTATTACTTCTTCATTTCGTATGCAGGATTACAATTATTTTGAGGTTAAATATTAAAGTTACTAATGTATAATCAAGATATTAATATAAGGTTGTCGAGTAAGGGTTTAAGACATACAAAATAACCACCAACACCGACTCCGTCACTTAAGAAGTACTTAAATTTTTTATATTTTGTAATGTGTTTTTACTGTTTTACTTACATTATCTAGATTTTCATACTTTAAGTACTTTTTATATAAACATGAACTTCATAATTTTAACTTTAGGAGTAATTTTAAAATCTAGATCTTCAACATATTTTGATTAATCCTAATTACAAGGTGTGAACTGGAGACTGAAGTCAATGAAAGTAGTACAGTATTGAATATTACAGGGTACTGTTAAAAAAAAAAAAGGCAGGCTCAAAAGCCCAAATTTGTTTTGACAGCCCAAAAATTAAACTTGGGCCTTACCTCCAGTAACATGCCACTCTATAGCACAACAGTTAGGCCCATACTATATTGCTTGTTGTCTCTTTATGAGTTTTGAAGCAACATATGCAAGTTGGGTGCATTGGTCAACCTTTTACATGCATGCTTTCATACTGATTCATATGCAATACTTGAGTTGTAACTGATGCCACAAGCAAAGGGAGATAAGTTACCATTTCTACAATCAACCATTTTTCACGTTATAATTCCTCCATTAATCAACAATCTTTTAAGAATACTACTTTGAATACATTCAAACATCATATCAACAAGTCTTAGCTCAAGTTTTTGCTTCTGAAACATCATATTCATATCCCATGTCCTCTCCTCTGTTACTTCAGATCCCAAAGAGTGTTTCTCTATCTCCCCCATTCCGTAACTTTATCTCTCGCATCAGCAATTCGATCTACCGTGCATACTCCCGACAACGCCCATGGTCAGAACTCTTTGAATATGCTGCATGTTCTCGTCCTTGTTCGTTCTCTGATGCCACAACAAGGATCCGTAAGAATCTTTCCTATTTCGGGATCAACTACCTTACACTCCTTGGTGGTGTGCTTGCTTTTTCTCTATTGTCTCACCCGCTCTCCCTCATTACTCTCCTACTTCTCCTTTCTGCTTGGATCTTTTTTTACTTCTTTAAACCATCTGAGCAGCCATTGATCATCTTTGGCCGCACACTATCAAACAGTGAAATATTAGCCATCTTGGTGAGCGCCACAATCGTTGTGATGTTCTTTACCAGTGTTGCATCTTTGCTGATTTATGCTACACTAATTAGTGGGGCTATTGTGTGCCTTCATGGTGCTTTCAGAGATCCAGCAGATCTATTTCTCAACGCACAAGATGGAACTTCTTCGTCCAGTTTCTTTTCTATTGCTAATGCTGCTTCAATCACATCGGCTCATGCCTCTATGCGTGATGCTGTTTCCATAATCTAGAATCTGATTTCAGATCTCATTATCTCAATGCTTCTCAGTTATGAGGGTATTAGTACATTTAAGCTTCATTAGATGTAATAGTTATTATGACCAACATCATTAAGTAAAAAAAAAAAGAGTAGACCCATACTTCATATTATTATAGGTCTCATTTCTATTCTATAAATTCTAAATAATACAGTAGGTTTTGTAAGTTGAGTTTTTAAATTTTCCATCACCCTTTAAAATGACTATTTCACCTTGATTCTACAAAAATGACCACAGCAAATAGGACTAAAAATCGTTTCACAGCAAAGCACACAGCTGCAATATTAGTAACAGGTTTGACTTCCCTTCATAACGGGGCAGAAAAATCTAGCCAAAGAAGGCAATAACGAATCCACAAGTAATCAACTAGCTCAACACTGAAAGTAAAACACAATGGAATTGATCAGATTGCCCTTGTTGAAAATCAGGCCATCCTTGTAATTTCTTATTAGTATGTCAGATGTTCAAAATGCAATCAGGCTAAAAAAAATAATCCTGCCATGCGTGGAACTTTTTTTTTTTTTTTTACAGGGTTTACAGAACAAATTCCAGTGAACACATCAACTGATCTGAGTTCCTAAAAGCTATATTATGGGCTCCCAATTTTCTGTGTGTGATATGAACTTGTTTTGTTCTTGATTAGACAGTGGGAAGTAAAAATATGGAAGACACAAGAAGAAACTCTTTTTTGCGTTACAGCTATATACTCTTACACTTAGGAACTATCTTTTACATATCCTCTGGTATCTTCTGCAACCTTTGACCACAGATTAGCCATTTTCTCAGCAGAGCTTACCTATTCAAATCACAACAACAAACATTGTCTCAGACCATAACTTTGCTTGGCAGTTCAAAGCCATAAAAATAAATTGATGCAAGAACATAAGACACGTTATGAATGAGTCATTCAAATCACTAACTGAAATTCAAGAAGTATATATTTTTTTTATAAAAGAGATATATGAGTTGTGTCACAACTCGCAAAAACACATAAAATACATGGAAATATTTTCTTGTACCCTGTATATGTTTCTCTGAGTGTATGTTTGTATTGTTTGGGTGTGCGTGTGTGAGTGAGATAGAGAGGTTAACCTCATGTTTCAACAGCAGGAGCAATTCTCCTCTTCTGATACCTATAAAAATAAAGGGTCATAGACACAGTCACCACCATGGCTCCCCTCACACCCCAGCCATACAAAAGCAACTCCAAAAGCCATTTACAAACCTCCCCCACCCCCCACCAACACCAAACCCCCCAATGAAAAGCAAAAGGGCAGCAACATTGATTTATATAGCCATTTACCATCCCAAAAATCATTTAGAGCCTATACCATCAACAGCACATCATTAGTTCTGTAATATACGGCTCCCACCAGGCAATCAATATGATCAATAACATACTCCATAATCCACACTCATATGGCTACATGCATCCCCTAATCTACTATCATTTGGAGAAGAAGAATGTCCTTTCAAAGTGGAAGGGAATAGGTGAAATACCAGATGCTCAGACTGGTACAAAAGCAAGCTATGCTTAGACACAGAGACAAACAGATCACATGCTCATCTTTGCAGAATTGGAGCAAACCGAACAAAGAATAAAGATCTTAAAACAAAAGGGTATATTGTGTATTGATAAGGAGAAGATAATTCATTCGTAGTCCTCGAATCAGACTGCAATCAGAACAGCAGCCAGATGTAATCATCCCAAAAAAAACAAGATTGTCTACAAGAGTACCCAAAAATGAACCTGGAGAAGTAGAGGGGGCATGTATGGTCATCTGTTGACTTCTTTAAAAATGCCGCATTCTTCCTCTTACTACTAGAATTAGAAGCTCTTTACTACCTATCAGTTGCTACTTATCAATAATGCTTTGGACAATGAATCTACCAAAAGAAACCTCTTCCTCTAAATTCTGGTCTTGACATCTTTAATGGTGAGCAGGATCAAAAGAATACAAAACACACTTCTCTACCTTTAACTGTGAGATCCAACGTTGAATCAAAAGTCTTGAGAAAAAACTCCAATTATGAGACTCCATGAGTCCCAGACTTTCACTCAAATAATATTTACTACCTCCGTTTCATATTATGTGCAACAAAGGTCTTGGGCATGGACTCCTAGGCAAAATTTGTTTGTGAGTGTTAAATGGAGAGAGAAAGATAGAGATGCATGTGATGAGGGAAGAGATAGAAAGGTACTACCTCCGTTACAGGTTATGTGCAACGATTAGACATTTTTCCTCTCTGCTTTATGTCAAATCGTTGCACATAACCTGTAACGGAGGTAGTATGAAAACTTAAAAAGGAAAGAGTATTTGTTGCACACTTGAACATAAGGTGTAGCAACCATTTTTAGTAAATGTTGCACATAATATGACACGGAGGTAGTTAGATGATCGATACAGCAACCAAAGAAAAGACGATCAGGCCAAGATTTCGCAGCCCCTCATCCATTTACTGCTTAGTTCAGGTGAGGATTTCTTTACAGGACCAAACTGCTTCAGAAAACAAAGAGTGAAAAGCTCTTACAATGAAAGCCTCCCAATTTAGCATCTCTCTCCTAAACATAACCCATTTGAGCACCCAGTTACTAAAATGATTGCACCTTTTCATAGGGTTCAAGAAAATACCCTCTCAGCAGTGAGGAGGGTATGACTATATGGTGTACATCTGAAATCCAAAATGTGCACCAAGTGATAAATTTCGAGTTTCTGAAACCTGATTTATCCCATGCAAAGCAAGAAAGACAAGGGGTAATGAAACAGAGGATCATCACACTCAACAAAGAAATATAACAAAATCAAAATTACACATTACAAGGAAGAGCAAGGAGGATCTACCTGATCATTTACAAACCCCTTCAACATTTTCAGAAAATCAGTATGTTTTTCCCTTTCGAGTCTTTCAAGTTCAGTCCTATTATTTTCCTGCAGATATACCAGCATTATTTTAGTCTCAACAATTATTATGGTTAGGAAAACAATAATATTACAAACAATTTACCCAACAAATTTGTCACAAGAATATTAAAATGAGAGCATGTATCTAACTGGGCTAAGTATTTGGAAACTTATAAATGAGACAACCCCAAGCCGAAAAATTTAAAAAGATGTAATGAAATTCTCTAGACTATCAAGGTGTACTCTACAAATTTCTTAAGCTGTGACATCCCAAAAACCCACAGACTGCATGTTTCACATGGATAGTGTGGTATGGATAACCTTATCTCTTATACTAAACAAGCCATTAAAAAGTAAAGCCACTGTTGATCTTACTGACAAACAAAACAGATGCAAATCCGAAATCAGAACACAAAATACCATCAAACTGCAAAAGAGCCACATAGTGTTGTATACAATATGATTAGTCAATAACTTCTTTTAAAATAACAAACCACCATATTTAACCAAGCTTTTTAGTGATATAGTCATATAGATTATAGCTTCAGAAATCATTGGCCATCCAGAAATTTCAACTACAGAGCTATAACTCTCATCAATGATTGGTACATAAGGAGACAATGACCAACATTTGCCTCTGGAAACCTTTAATTCTCCAGCCCTAGTACCATCTTCACCATGTCTGAGAGCATTGTAACTAGATAGAATAATAAATAACATCACAATTGTAACCTGCTTCTCCAGTAAAAGACCACAAAGAGAATTCCAAATTTCAATTTTCAACCATGTCTACAAACAACATACCCATATAGATAAACTACTACAACTTCCTTCTCTAGAACAGGACCACAAAGCGTTTAAATTCATTACTTTTCTTCATCACTGGTTCCAACCCCTACCTTACGGCATATAGTCCTTTAAAATTATAACTACTTTTCATCAATGGTTACCACAAATATTCTAAATTGAATCAAACTGGGCAAAACTAACAAATTTCTCACAAGGTAACCACCACTATCACAGAGCATCAATTACATATTCTTCACCACTACGCCAAGCCTACCACAAATATTTTAGCAGAATAGAAACATTGCTTGCTGAAACAATCAGCAAAACCACTGCTGCAATGCACTAGAAATGGTAGTTCTACAAAAGAAATCATGAGATACACTCAATATATCTAAAAGGGGGAATGATTAGAAAATCTGGAAGCTGTTAAATAGCTGAAGCCACATAAGAATGCAAGATGTTTGATTCAAAGGGCACCATGCAAAGCTGGTAGTTACGCGACAAGGTACAGATATAACATGCACTCAGATGTACGCAATGCTAGTTTGTATGGAAATTGTTTAATTCCAATGAGCAACTTAACTTGGACCATGATTTAGACTGATTCCATACCTTAATTCGCTCATACTCTCTGACTGCATAGTTTTTTGAGTCTTCAGTGATTTTCATGGTTTCCTTTAACTCTTCCAGCTTGTGATTTCTGGTCTTATCACCACCAAAGACTCTAGATGATGCAGCCTCAAGTTTGTCAGCTTTCGATTGCAAAGAGGATACCTCTGATAGAAGTGTCTGAACAGTCAACAACGCATTTGCACGATCTGAATACGCATTGTGAGCAGCTAACATAGCTCCAAGATATCCATGAAGGGTTTCCTGTAAAACACAAAAACAAGCAAGTTATCAGCATAATTCTAAGGCATCTAAGCTCTTTAACTGTACAAACTACAACGCCTACGATTGGAATGATTTTTTCTAGATAGAGTTTATGCATTAGAAAGTCAGTAAATAGGCACCAGAGGACAGCTTTTATATGTCCAAAATTGATTGTCAAGCAAAACCCCATCAATATAGAATAATAGAAACTGCAGTAAGCCAGTAAGCATTAATTAAAAGGCAGAATAGGAGATACCAGGTTCTTCACTGTTTTAGCATTTAACTCCCTATACATTCTGCTGCCTCTGACTGTAGCTGTTGCTATGTTCTTCATTTCAGCAGCACGTTTCCTTTGAGTATCAAGAATTGCTGCCTCATTCTCAAATTTTGTCAGCTTGATAAATGATAACCCCAACTCTCCCATTGTATCTCCCATATCTTGCTGAGCTTTGACCAGCGATTCAGCCTGTAAATAATTAGATAGCTAAGCATTAGGAAAGGAAAACTTCTGTAAATCATTATAAATGAAAGTGTGAGCAACCAACGAGTAACAAAAGAAGTTGAAAATGCAAATTGACCTGCTTAGAAACATCCGTGAGGCGGGTTTCGAAATCAAAGAGCTTTTCTTTCTTCTCCATAAACTCCTTGTCTTCCTCAACAGCTGGTGGCCTCGAATTTCCCCAGTCATTTGTGACAGACTGTTTTAGCTCTCTAAACAACCTCAGCAAATCCCTTCCTCCTTTAGCAGGCTGAACTGCCTCATGTGGAGTGACAACACTCCTAGAATCCCCAAATAATTGTTTTGGTAAATTAACAGCCCCATCTAGCATCCTCGATGCTACATCTGTGCTCGTCTGCAAGGGAAGCTTCCCCTGCACTTGCAAAAACATTCTCAACTCTTCACTCGTCCTAAGGACAGGATGAGCAGCTAATTTCCTCAAATACTTCTCCAGTGCCACTCTTCTCTGCTCAACAAACTCCTGCTTGTGCATAACTTGACTCTCCACCACACTCTTATCAGGCCTGGGAGGTATAAAAAACCCTCTATAAGACTCCGATAACCTATCCGCTAATGTCACCACGTCCCTAAACCTCCTCCTAACGCTAAACTCCGTCCCACCAAACCCCCTCATATTAGTCTTCGTAGTGATCAAATAAGTCACATAAGTGTTTCCCCCAGGAACAATCGAATTCGACGATAACTCCTGCTCTTTCTGGGGGTTCGAAACCTTAATGTTCAAATAATCAGCACCCAAAGAACTCAACGAGTCCGAACTACTCCCGGAATTCACTTTCGGGCTCCCAACCCCATTGACACCCCCACCATTAACACCCCCAGTAATTGGACTATCAAACACATCAGAGTAATCAGAATCCTCAAAATGCGAGCTAAAATCAACATCTTTATTTCTAATTTGATCCTCCTCTTGTAGAGGAAACAACAATGGATCTGAATCAACAGGTTCCGCCACAATCGAGGACGATAAAGGATGATTATTATGCGAATCAGATAAAGTAGTCAAAGCACTCTTGTAATTAGCAAACGATTTAGAAGATGATAATGGATCATCCAAAACTAGGGTTTCCATTTCTTCATTAGGAGCAAGAGGATGGGCTCCCTCTTCATTCTCAGAGCCCATCATTTTCTTCCCAATTAATCACCTTATCCTCCAAATCCAAAAAAAAAATCAACAAAATCAAAATCCAAAAAAACCCTAAATTCCACAAAAATTCCAAAACAAGTACAATCAACTGAAATTCAAATATTAATGCTACAATGAGAAATCAGTGAGCTGCGAGATCACGAACCAGGAGAGAGAAACAGATAATTGAATCGAATATTGAGGAGAGAGAAAAATTTCGCCGGGAAACGACGATCGACGGCGGAAGAACGGAGGTTATAGAAGGTGGTGCATTGAAATTCCGGTGGAAAAAAGGAGAGAGAAAATTTAAGGCGTATAAAGACGACGACCCGCGAAGAAGTTTGCACTTGACATGATAGACAGTATTTATTGATTACAAAATAGTACTTGTACCTTTTTCCTAACCCATATTATGGGCTAATTTAGGATAATTTTTTGTTTGTTTCGCAATGTGGATGATTTTTTTGGTTTTGATTCGTTTGTGCCTTGTGGTAGTTGCTTCTTTAGAATACACAGGTTACAAGTAACTAATCACTTAACACTCTCTTCTTAAAAGAGATTAGGGCCCTGTTTGGTAGTAAGCTTATTGGGAGTATATTAGCTTATTTGACTAACTTTAGCTAATTGACTAGTCAAACAAGCTAACACAAGTGTTTGGTAGTAAGCTTATTTAAAGAGCTTATTCCACTAAATAAGCTCTTTTTGAAAAAGCTCATTTTAGGAGCTTTTTTAATTAGCTTATTCATTAATTATTGTGAAATGACATTTATAACCTCATTTAATTTAAAATCCTTTCTAAATTACCTACCCCAAAATTAGCTAATTGGTCATTTCACATACTCAATCACCTTTAAGCTATCAACTATTTACCAAACACTTTTATATAATCAGTTAATACAATAAGTTAGTCAAATCAGCTAGTCAAAATCAGCTAACTCAATCAGCTTCAGCTTTCAGCTTTCTTCCAAACAAGGCCTAGGTCAAGCGTGATTTGCTTTTTATATTTGTGGTTGAGTATGAAAAAAGATTTAAGAAATTTGTTGTAAATACTTTGTTTCTTATTCTTGATCGTAATTAGGGTAATGCCTTTTCTTTTCTTTATGCGTAGTACAAAGTTTTATATTTTGCCATTCTTTTTAGTTTAAAATGCAATCAATTTGTAGGGTTGTCTATCATGAAACATATGCTCGTGGATTTCATAAAATTAGGTAATTATCAAAGAAGTATTGATCTAACTTAAGATGGATGATCGTGTGAGAGTGAGGGGTAGCTCAAGTGGTTAAAGTTGTCCTCCCGATTTCAGGTGATTTTTTGTAAAAACAATTGTAAAATCTCTCCTAATTAAACTTATATTATTTAATTAGTTTGTGGATTTGAGTTAATCCAGTTGCTTAAGTTAGTGTGCCCAACCCAAATACACTAATATTGTGTTATTTTCAAGTTGTATATTTGTGGTGTGTGAGATTCTCGTAGCAACTACTGATATTTTGTAAAGATTAATAAAATTGGTGGTGGTGACAAGAGGAAGTACTCACTACAATATTCACGACATGCAATAAACAAACTCATAGCAAGGTCGGCGAGAGAAGACAAAAATGTGTGGAATCATTGTAACAATATCAATAATTTCAATACCACTATATACAAAGATCAAAACTATTCTTAAAGTGCATTTACAACAACATGCATGTACTACTTGTGATACTTGCTTCGTCTTGACACTCCACCCTACATGGTAATCAAAGGCAAATCCAATTTAATTTTTTTTTTTAGATCGGGCCAAAAATGTGCAAATAAGAGAGATTGAACCCTTGACCTTCCAAATCTATGCAAGAAGTAACTAACCAACTAAACCACTACTAAAACTTAAATATTTGAACAAGATATTTAATTTATATGATATCAAAATCTGGGCATTGTTTCTAAAAAAAATATGGGCATTGCGGGGCTAAGGCTCAGGTAAGCCCCTGGATCCGTTTAAAGTACCTCATAGACAACGTACTAACGGTTCTAGAGGTATTAAAAACTGACCCGATCGACTTGAACAAAACTCAATTCAATTTTGGACTTGTTTAGATATAATAATTAAGCATGACTCAAATTTAAAATAGATCCAACTCGATCTCATCGAGACTAACATAACCATCCAAATTGATACCTATAGTTTATAGAGATTGATTACGAGTGTAAGAAAGGATTTTCTATTTGCCCCGAGCCTAGGCTAACCCAAAGGCCAACACCCATAAAAATGCGAGTTAGGTGACACACCACCTTCCCTTTCAAGACTAATCCAAATTTCCTCTTCATCCCCAAAATTAGGTTTTCCCATTTCAGTTTTCACACTCAGTCTCAACTCTCAACCATCATATTCGATAAACTAGCCGGCATTTCTCAATTCTCTCATCTCTTCCCAATTTCTTCACAAATTCTCTTCCCCCATTTTCTTTCTACCATCAACAATCTCAAAAATTAGCAGAAACGATTTCTTCGATGTCGAGTTCACTCGCCGGAAAATTTGGTTATGCCGGCGGCATACCGGAGCGAAAAGTCCGACCCGTTTGGGATGCGATTGATTCACGACAGTATAAAAATGCACTCAAACTCTCTTCTACTCTTCTCAACAAGTATCCCAATCTTCCTTATGCAATGGTCAGCTTTTTTCCTTGTAAATTATCTCATTCTTAATTTTTAACTGTTTTTAGGGTTTTTCTTGGGTATTATTTGTTCATTGTATGAGATTATGTTTGTTAATTATGTTTTTAATTGTGGGTTATTTGAATTGAATGTGTTAATTGAACGAAATTGTGTTTGATGTCTCTGATTTCGGTATAAATGATAGAGTGCACATTAATATACTATTGGGTTATGTGGGGTTTTGATCAAGATTTTTGTTTTCGTCGAAGATTTTATGTTTTGTGAAATGGTTTTATTGAGAAAAACTTGAAAAGTCATGTTGATTTGATAGCAAGAACCTTTGGATAAATATTGGCACTGTTATCCTTTGGTAGATTGGTTTTTATTACTATTCATCTTTATTAGAAAAATAGTGATTTCAGAGTGGAATGTGTGACATTAGATTCAATTGCTCATTCTGATTGTCATGTGGAATGTGTACAATTGTTGTCAGATTGTAGTATTTATATCCCTGCAATGCCTCGGTATCGGACTGGACTTCTTAAGCTTACAGGAAAGTGGGTATAGTATGTCAGTTTAAGGAAATCATATGTTTTACAACAAATTCAAATTTATGAGGATTGTATTGCTGTTTACTGTGTTGCATGTTTTCTTTTAATAACTTGTCAATGTTGCTCGAGTAAGATCTTTATGTTAACCCTCACATGCGTAACCATGTGATGTTCCCTTTTGTTCTTAGTTTGTTACTGGTATAAATTTCGGTAACTTTTCAAAATTTATCTTTCTTGTGGTCTGCCAAACCAATTGAAGAAATGTCTTGAAACATCTACAGGCACTTAAAGCTCTTATTCTGGAAAGAATGGGGAAACATGAAGAAGCATTGTCTATTTGTATGGAAGCTAAGGAATTGTTGCATAAAAATGTGTCCTTGTTAATGGATGATCTTACACTCAGCACGCTTCAGATTGTCTTTCAAAGGCTTGATCGCTGTAAGTATGGGTTTTGATGCTTATTGCTAAATGCTGCAATTGTGTTGTCTGACATGTCTTCTCTTATTTGAACAGTGGATCTGGCTACTAGCTTGTATGATTATGCATGTGGCAGAATTCCAAATAATTTGGAGTTAATGATGGGACTTTTCAATTGTTATGTTCGTGAATATGCATATGTGAAGCAGCAACAGGTTGATGTTTTCTTAGGCCACCATTAATTTTTGTTTGAATCTCCATTCTTGGCTTTAGGGGTATGTGATTCTTCCGGCTTAATATTTTCTTCCTTTTTTCCCAGACAGCTATTAAAATGTACAAGCTTGTTGGTGAAGAGAGGTTCTTGCTTTGGGCTGTTTGTAGCATACAGTTGCAGGTTACTCTTTGACGCTTTTCTGAATATTTTATACTGTAATTCATTTTCTTTTTTCTTGCTGGTAATCTGGTATGCTTGAGGATTTTTCTGATTTGTTCAGACTGAATACTATTGAAATATTGGAAATTGGATTTTTCTGGTATGTTTGATGAGGTTGATGCATTCTATATCTGAGAATATATGCTATGATTAAAAGGATAAAAACTGATGTGTTATTATCCTTATAAACAAGCCAATGGTTATTAGATATATGTTTTCCAGCTGACCAATTTGTTTTCTTCGCTTAACAGGTTAGCTGTGGCCAGGGCGGAGAGAAGTTGTTAGGATTAGCTGAAGGCTTACTTAAAAAACACATTGCCTCTCATAGCTTGCATGAACCTGAAGGTCTGTTTGTGATATCTTTTCATATGTCTGAATGATAAATCATGTAGCTTGTCTGGTCTTTTGTACTGAATGATTTACATATCTTGCAGCTCTTATTGTGTACATTTCCGTGCTGGAACAGCAAGGCAAGTATGGCGATGCTTTAGAGGTCTTATCAGGAAAATTAGGATCCCTGATTCTGATTGAAGTTGATCGACTTCGCTTGCAGGTATTTTCTGAAGCTTTTTTTCTTGTGCTTTGTTATTTTGTCTATTGACTATGGTGCTTGGTGAATTAATTTCCTCATATTGTTATCTGAAGCTTTGTGATCTTTCTATTGCTTTTATTACGAAAATGCTTGAAACTGTCCCCAGTTAATTGTTTTAGTAAGAATGTTCCTGCCGCTCTGCAAAAAATCCTTGGCGTATAATAAATTGAGACCTTTGAAACTATGAATTGCAAAGTTCTGTGTAGTAAATCTTCGTGTCTGTTGTTTAGCATGCATAATATTACCTCTTAGGTTAAAAAATTGTTAACATAGACATTGAAGCTCTTTTGATTTTCTTGCATTCGATTTCTTATTTGTTCTGTTTTACTTAAGCTGGCAGGGTAGACTTCTTGCTCAGTCAGGTGACAATGCTGCCGCAGCCAGTACATTCCAGAAAATCCTAGAAATGTGGTATGCTTGTGGACTCTGTTTTAGTGTTATCATTACATTGTCATTGCTTAGTAGAATGCAATTCACTGTTAATTAGTGTTTTCTTATGTGCTGACTGTCACCTCTCTTTTTTTAGCTTTTCTAAAGGATTTTAAGTTGCCTATATAGCTGAGGTCTCAAGGGCTGAGGCTGGACTTTTTTTTTTTTTTTTAAATTTATTTTTGTGCTTTAGCTCAGTATTGTGCTATTATGTGGTCCTTTGCTTTTGTGTTTTTTAACATCTCTTTTTCACTATTTAACCTCATTGCTCTTTTGACCTGGCAGTCCCGACGACTGGGAGTGTTTCCTTCATTATTTAGGTTGTTTGCTTGAGGATGATCAAAGTTGGTGCAATGGGGTAACTAGTGAACCAAGGTGTCCCCCAGGATCTGTCAATAAGCTTCCTCATATAACAGATGATATGGTACGTTAGCTTCTCTATGATTTCTGAGTATTATCATTCTTGAACTTCTTTTTATCAGCTTTCAGTGACCAGATAGTCAGATAAGTAAGTTAATTTGGGATTAGCATGGAGCTGATGCATATAAAGTTTATTAAATGTAGATTAAAAATATTGAAATTGTGTTTAGAGAGCATGAAAGAGAGAAAGTGTTTGATTAGAGAGAAAAAAATCAGTAGGACTGAAAAAGGCTATAGTTTTGTTTTGGGATGCTCCATAATGGCAATTGTGTAGGTTTTTTTATGGGATGTAGAAAGTAATAGTTAGAAGAATCTTCCAGTTATGTATTTAATCACTCTTATATTTGCTGATACTATTACTGCTTCGGATCAGTTTGACTGACAAGAACTTATTTGTTGTAATTTTGCAGTTCAATTCTCGTATCCAAGATGCATCAGCTTTTGTTAGAAAATTAGAGACAGAAGCTAGTGATGATTCTAAGAGGGGCCCATCTCTTGCTTATCTTGAAATTGAGAGGAGGAAACTCCTACATGGTATTGGTGCTAAGGAGAAACTTATTGATGCCTTGGTGCTATACTTTTCTAGGTGTGTATTTATATTACTTCCTCTTTTATTTTTATTTAATGCAACATTTGGACTTTCACGTTTGCCAACGCACTACTTCAACACTAATAAAAATTTGATATTTTGAAAGTATATATCAAGAAAATTCTAACAAGACCCCACATGGCTATAGTTTTCATTCCTTTATCAAATGATGGTCAAAGGGTATTATGTGAGTAGTGTTAAAGTCAAAATGTTGCACTTATAAATAAATTGACTGTCTGAACTTATCAATTATTTTCCTAATTAAGTGATGATAGAGGAGAAACCTTTTTTTTGTTAATTTTTTTTTTCCTTTTTCTTTCTTCTAGTGACCCTTAGAAGTACTAAGAAATCTCTAAGATACAGATTGAGCTGGCTAGAAATTGATATGGGGGTGTTCTCTAAGAAATTGATATAGATAAAGAATGATATGATTGGGCTTTTTACTCCTATCTATTTTTGTTGCATAACAGTAAAGTTGTGTTGGATATAGGTGGATATTACTACCCATGGAAACATGATAGAGCAAAAATTAGAGAATTAGGAAACTTAAACTTTTGGAGAAAGGCCTTGAATATATAAAATAATATTAGCAATCTTAAGGAAAAGTGCCATTTTTCTTAGAGTTTCAGAAACAGAGAAGTTAAAATTTGTGACAGGATTCAAGTTGTTTTTTTACCCCTTCTATTTCCTTTTTGTGGAAACATATTTGTATGAATGCCTATTCTGATTTTAGAGTGAGGGATATTGTATTTTGTTTTCAGTAAACGCAGCTGTTTGGTCTGGATCTCTGTAGCAACTATCAGTCATTTCAATTTTCTATGCGTTGTGTTAAAATTGCTTCATTCTACTCTAAATTGATAGCTTGGTGTGGCTTGTTTGCTCCGTTAGCACTGTATTACTTTTTTGAAAATACAGCTTGGTATATTGTTTCAGCTTTTCATGGTTATAATGATGCAGATTTGGCTACTTAGCTTGCTTCTGCTCTGATGTTGAAGTATTTCTTGACATTTTAACTCCCGATGAGAAAATGGACTTGCTGGAAAAGCTCAAAGAGAGCTCTGTATCCACGTCTATGGTACCAACAAAATCTCTCGGTCTGGCAATCAGTCTCCAGAAGTTACAATTGCAAATTGGCATCACATACAAGCTCCCTGATGCTGGTGTGTCTTCCTGTCTTTCCCATTTGTCATTTAAAATGGGTGGTTTAAGCAATAGCTTCACCCGTTATTTGAAATTGCAGCAATTTTCTTTTTAAGGAAGTTTCACAAATATTGCGTCATTATTTAATAAAGAAATTCAATATCTTCTTTCTTATTGCTAATATCCAATATACCTTTGTTGACATCACCTCAATTTCTTTTTTATTTGTGGGTAATTCACTTAGTTTTTGTGGTCTCTCTCATTTGTTTCCCACTTTTTTTAATCTCTGTGCCCCCCCCCCCCTTCTAATTTTGCAACATATTTGGATGGAGGAGGATTTTTCTTATTGGCTATCTTCTATTTGTCCCAGAACTTGAAAGTTTGGCAGTGAAGATGATTAATATTTATCGTAAAAACCTTCCTCTTTCAAAGGATTTGGATCCACAAGAGAGTATGCATGGTGAAGATCTTTTTCACATGGCTTCCAATATATTGGTCCAAGTAAGTCTTCCACAATGAGTTTGTATTCCTTTGGGGGGGGGGGGCTGGGGTGTTATGGGAATAGTTGCATGTATTAAGGCATGTGTGATTATTGTGCTTTACTTTGTTTGTTTCCGTGCTCAAATGTTATTGTTCATTGTACATTTGGCTATATAAAATTATAAATTGCAAAGTGTTCTGGATTTTAAAGAAACGGAGGAAATTTTGGTCCTGTAATCCGAACTACAGATGAATTTGGACTGATTATGCTCATTGAATGGTCCACCAGAGAATTAAAAATGTAAATAATTAAGGAAATTAGCTTTTTGAAAAGTGTTCCGTAAAAGAATAAGAGAAGATCATGTTTTCTACCCCTGCTTTGTCTGACCACTCAAATCGTCAGTGGTCGGAGAACCTTTTACTGAACCTCATTCACTGTGGACAACCAGTTTTGTGGCTAAGTCGGGCTCTCGAATTTTCTCTTTTCTTACACCTCCCCAATTCTCTTCAGTCCTTATCCCTCTTCTCATCACCACCCTTTTCATTTTCTTACTTGATGAGGCTTTTTTTTTCTACTAGCAACTATTGATTTCTTTCCTTGTGGTTAGTGGTTGCTGGAGACTGGAAGGTGGTTGATGGATGGATTTGAATGGAGGTTGGGGGTGGGTGTGAGAGTGGGGTTTGGTGGGTCAAGGGAGAAATTTTCATAGTTTCTCTCTCTCTCTCTCTCTCTCTCTCTCTCTCTCTCTCTCTCTCTCTCTCTCTCTCTCTCTCTCTCTCTCTCTCTTTTAAGTTTAATCTTCTCAAACTCAAATTTTGCTACATAATCAATACTTTCCTTGTTTATATGGACTTAAGTCACAATGGACCTTGGAGTTCCATTTCCCCTGTTTTATCATATTCCATTCCACATATAGGAAATGTTAGATTTGCTTTGCTTTATTGTTAGGCAATCATACTTGTTTGTTTGTGACGTGTGTTCCTTACCAATATTGATCCTATATCATGCTGTTGTTAGTCCAGTCCCTCAGATTTGCTTTGCTTTATTGTTAGGCAATTATACTTGTTTGTTTGTGACGTGTGTTCCTTACCAATATTGATCCTATATCATGCTGTTGCTAGTCCAGTCAAGCTGATCTTTTCAATACCTTTGTCGCTGCTTTCAGTTATATTGGAGAACTGGAAAGATTGGGTATTTGTTAGAGATTGTTATGATGCTGGAACTAGGATTAAATATCAGGAGGTCAGTTTTTCATCATTCAGGTTTTCTGGTTTTCTTTTTATTTATTAATTTTAGTTATAAATTTGATTCTCTTGAAATTCCTTAATTTCTCCTACTCATTTTATTATTTATACATAATTAGAATTTGTTGCATAATTTTAAGTGCTGTAATCCATGCATAAATGCAAATTTACTTATAAAATTGCTACTACAACTTGTTGCGGATATGTAGCATTTCCCTTGTATCCCCCCCCCCCAAGTTTCTGAGAACTCTTTGTATATCCTATGAATGCTTCATAGTGTGAATGTGCTCAATATTTTTTCAGATGATTGGTTACCTCAACAAATCAATAAAAATTTATGTAGTTACATATTAAATCATACTTCATAGTTTGATTTCTTTGGATCCACTCCCTGACTAAATTATGCTGTACCAGACTTACTCTCGTCTACTGAATATTTGGTAGAATGTGGAGCTGACCATGGAATTTTTTGTTTTAATGTACAGATTTGTATCGCAGTATAAGATAATATTGCTACATTTGTATTCTCACTTGGGTGCGCTTCCTGTAGCCTATGAATGGTTAGTAATTTAGTCAGAGCCAAAAACTCCTTTTATTGTGATTAGGTTGATGGAGTGCCACAATATAGTTTATATGTATTTTACAGAATGTTTTTTGACTATGAGAATTGTGTCAATATTTTAGGTTTCGTACTCTGGATGTGAAAAATATCCTGTTAGAGTCTCTCTCACATCAAATCCTGCCACAGCTGTTGTTATCTCCTCTTTGGGAAGCTTTAAATGATCTTTTGAAGGACTACCTGAAATTTATGGATGACCATCTTAGGGAATCTGCAGATCTTACCTTTCTTGCTTATCGACATCGTAATTATTCAAAGGTAAGCTTTTATCTAGCTGTGCTTATTTTAGTTTTGCTTCAGCAATGTCTTTTGGTTATTGGTGCTCCACTCTCACCTCTGTCATCCTCTTTTTTTTTTTTTTTTTTTTTTTTTTGGGTGTGTGTGTGTGTGTGTGTGTGTGTTTTTTTGTGGCACGTGCATATGTGCTATTTCAAATTCTGAATGTGTTTCTCTGCTTAAATTCACTTTATAACACTTGGTGCACCGGCACAGTTCAACATCCTTTGCGGCACGTGCATATGTGCTATTTCAAATTCTGAATATGTTTCCCTGCTTAAATTCACTTTATAACACTTGGTGCACCGGCACAGTTCAACATCCTTGTGATTAATTTTGGCACATGTTTTTAGGCTCAGTTCTGTAATTCTGTTCAATTATATACGCCTATAACTTTTGTTGCTGGCTTGCTGCCCTAATTCATCTTGCTCTTTTTGTGTGACTATTGCCTGTATTAAATCTGGAGTATTTGTTGTACGGGATTGGATTGTAGGTTAAAGTTATGGGTGCTTTAGGTAAAAGTATTTCATGATTCTACAAAGTAGGTGTAGAACTGTAGACTGTGGAGAGCCTGAAAATAGAAAATATTATCGGGGTTGGGACTTTTAATATTTTTGGCCTAACAAGTGTTGCTTCTGCTGCCTATGTTTCAGGTTATTGAGTTTGTGCAGTTTAAAGAACAATTGCAACATTCTAACCAATATCTGATTGCACGACTTGAATCATCTATTTTAAAGCTGAAGGAGAAAGCCAACAACATTGAGGAGGAAGAGGTAATATTTCCTGCAGGACGTGCCCTTAGCTACATGCTGATATTTCTTATGTGTCAGTGACATGTTTTCTTCACAGGGTGTTTTTGAATCCTTGAAATGTGGAACTCAAGCTCTTGAGCTTGCTAATGATACGTTGTGTCAATCATTGACATTCAATGAAGAATTACAATTAAGGCCTTGGTGGACCCCAACTCCAAAAAAGGATTATCTTTTAGGTTAGTGCATCATGCTCTTTGACCAGCAGTGAACTGTGATATATTTTTTTTTCTTTTCTAATTGACACTTTTTTTCGCTTTCATGCAAATTGTAAAACAAAAGTCTGGTTGCCGTTATAGATGTTAATGTCTGCCGTGTATGTTTCTCCAACTTTTCAGCAACCAGAAATGGCTTTATGAGCTTCCTTTTTATAGCTTGTGACTGTTGACTAGGCTCTTATAGGTTATTGCTATGTTGCTGCCAATGCTTTCCTTCATGTGACTCTGTTTGAGTCTTGTAAGATGGATGTAATTATCATAATAAAATTATTAATGTGTTCCTTTGATTTCAGGACCCTTTGAAGAACTCAAACATCCAATGGAAAACTTGGTATAAACACTTTTTGCTGCTCATGATGGTACTTTTATTTATGATTATATGTACTGATTTGGTCCTTTGAGCTATAATGCAGGATCATTGTAGAGAATGGGAAACAAATGTGCGAGAAAATGTTGAGAGGAGATCTCTTCTTCCTCGGATGATATATTTGTCTGTGCAGTGTGTGTCAGCTTCTAGTAAGGAGAACATAGATGTTAATGGGTCTGTGTCTGATTCTACCTTCTCCTTGGAGATGAAATCGTTGTTGGAGCGCTATGTGAAGATCCTTGGCTGTTCTGTTGACGAGGCTGTGAAAGTTGTGCTTGATGTTGCAGAGGGTCAGAGACCTTTGGAGGTCTGTATTATTATAATCTTCGTTCTTGTTTATTATCTGTGCAACTGCTTCTGATACTGCCCCTCTCTCTGGAACTATGATACATGTGGTAGCATGTGCCTCTACTGGATTGAAAGCTATAATAATATACTACATTATTTCAGGATTATCTAATATGAATTGTCAAAGCTATAATGATCTATTGAGTATAGCAGGGTATCTATCATCCATATTAAAAAAAGTACTACATATCATGTTATTTGAATAAGAGATGCCCTGTCTTGTGAATGGCATTTTTTTACTTTATGTTGACAGTCATTGGACTTATGTATATAGGAGTATACTTTCTTCTTCCCATTATGTTTTGCACACTTGCTTGGTGTAGATGTCCAAATCATTTTATTTATTATTCACCCCCTAAGAAAAACCAAGTGGCCCACTCTTTCATAAACAATGTCCACCATTTATATCTGTGCCAACCCTATCATTAAAAACAATTAAGGGCAGAGGGATTAGCTTGATCGAATGGGTAAAATCTGCTGTGTTGTTTTTTTTTTAAAAAAATTTATTTATTTATGATTATTAATTTTTTATTTAAACTTTTTCCTGTGTCGGCATTTGGCGCAGGCTTTGGGCTCAGACTTGATAGATTGGGTGAACTTCGCTGTATTTTTGAACGCATGGAACTTGAGCTCCCATGAATCCGTGCTTCCAAGAGCTGAAGGGAGTACATCACTTTGGCATCTAGTAAATTCTTTGCTACAGAAGTGTATAGTACAAAAGGTCAGAATAACAGGTCCCAAGGTTTGTTCTCCAGGAGGCGATCTGCCAGTTTTGGTGCAATTGATTGCAGAACCTGTTGCTTGGCATTGTCTAATACTCCAATCTTATGTTCGCTCATCTATTCCTTGTGGCAAGAAGAAAAAGAAAATTGGACCCACAGATGGTTCAACTTCTGTGTTATCTCAGACCATCCGGGATTCAGTTTTGTCTCTGTATAGCATTATAGAAGTGGTTGTGGAATGGTTGAAAGAAGAGGTCAATAAAACAGAAGATGAAGCAGTGGACCATATGCTCTCCTCCCTCACGAGTGACCCAAATGAAGGTCCTGGAAAAGTATACCAAGCTCTTATAGAATTGTGGTCTACTGCAGACGAAGGAGAACTGGGTGACCGAATCTTCCAAGGAATCAAGTCCTGGAGTCCAACAGATGTTGCCAGGAAGACATTTAAAGGCCAACATAAGATGATGTCGACTTTTCTACAAATATGTGACTCCAAGCTTAAGCTGTTGGAGACTGTAAAGCAGCAAATATGAGGTGCAAGTAACCAAGTACTTTGCTTAGCTCACTCTTGACAGTTGTGTTGGGTCATTTGTTTGGTTGGTATGTTTGTTGCCTTGGCACATTGAGCCTCCTGCCTTCATTCTTTAATTACCCTAAGGGAACTTCATTATCCAGGCACCATGTGCGTTTTTTTCTTCTTGATACAAGTTCCCAATCTAATTGGCATGTTTCTCAATAGGAGAATTTCGAGCTTGAATCATGTACATTAAAGAACAATAGGAATCACATTTTTCTTTAGTTCTTTTTGACAGCAGAAAAAAAAGAGAAAAGAAAAGAAAATAGAGGCTTGTAACTTCAAATTTTTTTCGGAAATGAGCTTTGTCAATAATTTTTTTGAATGATAGTTTAACAATTTTACATGATTTTTTCATGCCAAGAAAGATTTTCTTGGTACTCCACTATTCCTAATACATGATGCCTTTCTGTAAATTTACTGTACTTTATATCTTACTTCTTGAATAATTTACCAAATTGCCATGGAATGCAGTTGCAGAACCACATTTATGATTTGGACTTCTTGTTGCTGTTATTTTTGTTTGCAGCTTAGCAGAGGGAGACTCGTTGCTCATTTTCTGACCACTGATGCTCTTCCTTGTCAAGGCCTTGCTTACATAAATTCTTCCTCCAAATTCATCAAGAATCACTTGCACGAATTGCCTGAGCACCTTGGCCTTCGCTGGCTCAATGAACATTGAACACCTTTATTTCCGACAATGCAGGACTCATTCAAGTTAATATTTCCCAAAGATAATCCTAGGAGCACATCTCCATGACTCCATCCATAGGAATTGGAGGACTAAAAGATAACTGGAGTACCTAATCAACATGCCGCGATTGATACTGTATTAATTAACAGAGTCATCCGATTCTGGCTGTGGAGCAGAAATCCACAATCATGAACTTGTATGCTCCTTAGCTGGCCAATCTGACATCACTCTATACTCGTAAGCAGCAAGTAGAGATAGTTCAATGACAGTCACCTAAGAACTAGAGGGGTCATTAGCATGGAAATAGGAATAAGTGGGTAGTTGATGACAATTGACAAAGTCCCAAATAAGATTCTTATCCAAGACTTGAGATCAGATCACGTCTAAATCTACGATAATGTCTTTATTACACCAAAATAAGGCTCCAATGACTTTTTGCAAGAAAATTTGTCAATTTTTTCAAAGAAAAATAGCATCACATTGACACTCCTTACTAGCTACTCCGTACCTACTTAGCCAACACATGACAAATTGGCAAGTTATTGTAAAAGATTACACCATATCAACAAATATGGTATAAACAGATTCATTTATCTTTTTCCTTAATGGTAGCAATTATCCCATTACATGTATCGTAGAAGATAATAATCTAGCAATTATCATAAAAAAAAACTATAAGATGGAGTGATTGTCAACAAATATTCCTTTCAATAACCACAAATTTCTTAAGATTAGTGGCACGATTGATTTTTCATGGATACTTAGCTTAATGACATCAAGTCCACTAAGATCATTGAAATTTCCAAACATTTGGAAACTTCATAAGTCAATTAACGAACAAATAGTCAGTGATAAAATTTCAACAAAAGTTAACAAAAACCCAAAAAATTTCGTTAAAATAAGATTATAGTCGTTGGAGTTGCTGGCACAACCAAAAGCCAAAAAGATACCTAAAACCGTTACCTTAATTAGATTGTCAATAACAAAATTTCTTGTTTATTTCGTGTTGCATACGTCCAAAAGTCTTTAAGGTTAGCTGGAGTTTCTTAATTTTTTTAAATTAAGATCAAATTAAGGAAGGTCAACTAAACAAGTGTAAATATAAACCAAATACATACAATCAGTTTCATGTAAATTAAATAAATAAGTTTATATGTCAACATAACGCATGATCTGCTTAGGTTAGATACTCTTTAGTGATTGGTGAGGTTAGGCAAACAAATTTTTTATTTATTTTAACCATAGGTAAGTCACCAGTGACTTTAAATCAGTCAAAATTGAGATAGAGTGTTTATTATACATCCTATGTACCTTGTGCTAGGCTCAACACTCGAGATATGTCAATGGTTACAAAAAGATAGTCTTGTATGTAGCTCAATTGGCTTGATGTACATTGATGAAAGTATATAATTATCGATGAATAACTCTAATACTTAATTTAGTATCCTTTATCGTAGTTATTATGTCTTCACCATGAACGACATTAGACTTATACATACACATGATTAGAGCTGGGTATAATATTGAGCCAATTAAGCCGGTGAAAGTAAGTTGATTCCAAATGCAATGGTTAACATGAATGAAATTGGTTAATTATCTCACAATAAATCACTTGACGTACGATAGCCAGCATATATAGAGTAACTCAAGTATTCAACCTTAGCTATAACCCTATGCTTGATAATGGTTATTTTTTTTCCTAAAACTATTAATTCATCGACCATAAATAAATAATTCATCATCTACCTAGATTCTAAATTAAAATGACTCGAATCCTGTTAAGCACGATTTGTGCATGTGTTGCGTCTATAATCACAACCCCAAAACTTTGTATTACAAAGGTGTTTTTTCATTTTTATTTTTTATTATTTTATTATTTTTTATTTATTTTTAAAATATACTTGCTAACAATCTAACATGCAGAAACAAGAAGACTACTTTAAAGTCGTCTCTTACGGCAATGGATAATGTGGGAACAAGTCAATATGAACAAAAGAATATGAAAAAGCTAAGCCTTTGAATTTGTTAAAATGACCTTTACCTCATTTGATCAATGTGTACATATTTTAAAGCTAATGAGCGCCCCCGGGACGTTAGATAAGAGAATTAAAGTGCAAATATTAGAGTTAAATTAACATTAATTACACCGAACGACGTATGATTTTGTCATGAATTCCTAACTTAATACCATTTCAACCAATATAATTTATCCTTATCTTACGCCCCGGGGGCTCGTTAGCAAGATCGCTTTTAATAAACTTAATTAATTTATTTCTAAGAACACCTGAATCGCAACACTTGGTCAAAGGAAAAATTACCATTCTTAGAACAATTCAAAGATTGAGGTAAAAATAAATAAATTAAATTAAGATAATTAGAAGTCAAATTTACACTAATCTTTCTGTAAACTTGGACCAACCTCTACTTACGCATATATATTCCATCTTTAATATAGTCAGGGATAATTGGTGCACCAAATCTTCGTTATGGTTGGACTAAGCAGTTGATTTGGACCTAATATACATATTAATTAAACTCTTACATTATATTTTCATCTCATTTTTCATGCTTTATTTTAAAGTATAGTATTAGGTTATGACTTCGTATCATCGTATGTTATGTACGTGTGTATATATATCCAACACTTTTCTTCATACTACTCACACAACTTTATTACCACAACTTTCACTCTAGCAAAGGATAGAGTGTAAGAACCAAGATGAAGTTGAGCAACACAAAATGTGGCCTCTTCTTGGGATTGTTTGTTTTTTTTGGCATTCGCGGCTGACTTAGCTAGCGCGAAGATACATTATCATAACTTTGTTGTATGTATTCTACTCTATAAGTGAATAAGTCTCCTAAGTAACTTTGTTGTATGAATTATTTTCATGCATCAATTGTTGTTCATTTACTAACTAAATATATTTGTATGATGAAAACAGATTCAACCGAAGCCAGAGAAGAGGCTGTGCAACAACCAAGTTATTATGACCGTAAATGGTCAGTTTCCGGGACCAACCCTGGAGGTACGAAACGGAGACACCCTAATCATCAAAGCTACTAATAGAGGCAGATACAACATCACCCTCCACTGGTAAACTCTCTAAGGACCTATATAGGTGTAAAATGTGTTAAGCTTAATGATACCGAAAATTTAACATGTTTATAAATGTTTAATTTAGGCATGGAGTACGTCAAATGAGATCACCATGGGCAGACGGGCCAGAGTTTGTTACACAATGTCCTATAAGGCCAGGACAAACCTATACATACAGGTTCACCATCGAAGACCAAGAGGGGACGTTATGGTGGCACGCTCATAGCAAATGGCTTCGAGCCACTGTATATGGAGCTCTAGTGATATACCCGAAGCTAGGATCTTCATATCCCTTCCGAAGGCCAGCAAAAGAATTTCCTGTACTTCTAGGTAAGATAAATCCCCTAAACTTATATGCACATTTAATTTGTAACATAAAAACGGAGAGTTACAAGGGACTAAAATTTTCGAGTTTGACAGGGGAATGGTGGAACAGAGATCCAATGCAAGTCCTTCAACAGTCTATGGTTACAGGAGCTGCTCCAAATGTATCTGATGCATACACTATCAACGGTCAACCTGGTGATCTCTACCCCTGCTCTAGTCAAGGTACGACGATCTTCCCTTGTCAGAAACAGGTTGATTACTGCAGTTTAAGTGATCTGGTACTTGATAGGAGTAATATTTTTTTACTGATGACAGCTTCGATTATGATGCAGATACAACAATATTCCCTGTAAGAGCTGGTGAAACATTTCTTCTCCGGATCATCAACGCTGCACTCAATCAACAACTCTTTTTTTCAATAGCCAACCACCAAATGACAGTTGTTGAGGCGGATGCAGTTTACACCAAGCCCTTCACCACCAATGTTGTGATGATAGGGCCAGGACAAACAACCAATGTCCTAGTCACGGCTAACCAACCACCAGGCCGCTACTACATGGCAGCTACAGCCTATGCCAGTGCTCCTAATGTAGCCTATGACAACACCACCACAACTGCAATCCTCGAGTACCAGAGAGGAGGTTCTTCAAGGCCAGTCCTCCCACAGCTACCAGTATGGAATGACACAAACACCGCCAAAGCATTCACAGCGCGATTTAGGAGCCTCTCCAGAGGTGAAGTCCCAACTAGGATTGATGAGAACCTATTTTTTACAATCAACCTCGGACAAATCAACTGCTCACGCCCAAGTTTCCGTTGCCAAGCACCTAACAACACTCGGTTCACTGCCAGTATGAACAACGTATCATTCTCACTGCCAACGAGAAATTCTATACTGCAAGCCATGTATCAGAACACCCCTGGTGTCTTCACAACAGACTTCCCTCCGGTGCCTCCAGTGCAATTCGATTACACTGGAAATGTAAGCCGCGGGTTATGGACACCTGTTTCAGGGACAAAACTATACAGGCTGAAATTTGGATCTCATGTACAAATCATCTTACAGAACACTAATATTGTCACAGTTGAAGATCATCCTATGCATCTTCATGGTTACCATTTCTATGTTGTTGGTTCGGGTCAGGGTAACTTCAATCCAAAAACCGATCCTGCCAGATTCAATCTGGTTGATCCACCATTTAGGAATACAGTTGGAACTACACCTGGTGGA